TCAATTACACTTTGAAGGCTAAACATCACTCTTACGGAGAATAAGGTTTGTTTGACAACGTTTTGCACAAACATTTTTCATAATTTTTTAAAAATTTTTTATATTTTTTATTAATTTTAATTAATATTTTATATTATTTTAAAATAATAAAAAACAAAAAAAAGTTATAACGACAGCTTTAGCACAACATAGCAAAACACTAACCAATGAAGCCCAAGTGATGTTGCTTGCAATTGTCCCTTCCCTTAAAAATTTTCCTCGTTCAAAAAAATATATACGCACATTCTCTACATACTTCCCGAGCTAAATTTCATATGAAGTTGAAGATGATTAATCTACAGCCATTTAATTATTGTTTTGTGATCAGCCAGAGCCATATACTAATATTGTATCTGGGTTGTTCCATTCAAGTTTGCAAAAATTGAGTGAAAATGGTATATGTATAAAGGAGATGACCTACTAGTCTTTTTTTTTTTTCCTTTTATACACTGTCTTAATATAACTTTCACGCACCTCAAAATTAATATTGTTTAAAAAGAAAATAATTAATACACATTCAATTTAACATATTTTTTAACACTCATTCTAATTTTACTATTAAAATATAAAAGTGATTGATATTTGGTACAAATCTTATATACATAGTTATATCTTTAAATTTATTTATTTTAAATTTTAAATTAAAATAATAATTTTTTAATGAAAGTATTTTATAATGTGTTAAATCAAATTATATACCGAAATCTTAACTGCACACCTATATATTAACTTGCTACATGCCTTCAAAAGAAAAATTAAAATTAAAATGTCTAATCTCAACCGCATGATTCTTAGAATTTAAGTAAAACTTTCACTATATTTCACCTATCTTGTGAGTGAGATTGAATGTCTTAACAAGACAATCTGATTTTTCTACATTTAGTTCTAGGAGATTATAAAATTCAAACACTTTTTCTTTCAAAGTAAGAGAAACCATAAAATTAAGACATTTTAATATTAAAATGTCATAATGTCCAATCTTTCATAAAGTATATGAGATATAGTCTGAGTCATAATTACAGTCGATCTACCATATAGTTGTGATTGAACATTATGATATTTATTATGATATTTTTAATGTAAAGATAACTTGATTTTTCTTTTTCTGTTGAAGTAGTTGGTCTCTGAGTCTCATATAACTTTATAGAAATAGGCCCACAACTAATTTTTATTTCTGGCCTATGTAATGTAACCGAACCAACAGGCCATAAACACATTATATCATGGCCCATTTTTAGCCTAAGCCCCAATAGCGCAAAACCCCACTTTCTTCCTGCCCACTCTTTCATTTGTTTTATTATAAGCGCTAAACCCTTCTGTTTTTGACCTCTCTTCCCCTATAAACCCTACACCATTCTTAACTCTTGCTCTCCACGAAAGGAACGGTCTCAGGTATTCCAGTCTTCTCTGCCTCATACCCTTTTGCATTTTCCACCTTATCTGTCTCTCGCATAGGACGTGTTCAATTTTTTAGATCTTCTAAGAAAAACTTGAAATTAGCATTTTGATTTTGGGTACCAGATTTATCTTTTTGGTCCAATTTCCTGTTAGCTCTTTGGTTTTTTTAGAAGATTTTGGGCTGTTCTCCTTTTTCTTTTTCTGGGTTCTAAATCAAATGACTTGGAGCTTTGGTTAATTTAGGGTTCTATGTGATTTTTGGCCATCAGGATCTAAAATGTTTCTTTCTTGTCCTTTATTTTCCCGGCAACCAAAGCGGGGTTTCTTGATTTTGGAACATTTATTCGTGTACCTATAAGAAGTATGTTGGAATATGCATAATCAGCAATGGGTTTTTTTCTTTTTTGTTGATTTATGGTATGTTCAGAGTATTGATTGAAAGGGTTTATTTTAAATTGAGGTTTTTGAGAAACTGACCATTGATTAATGGCTCCTGCAACGTGGGTTATTATTTGGTTATTCATCCCTAAATTTGTATCTGAGGGAGACGGTAGCATTCTAGGTAATGTAGATGCAGAATATTGGGTAAATTTGCATTTCAGCTGGTGGGGTTGTTGTTCATGCTGATATGTTTGGTGCTGAATCCTGAGACACAGGGACTGGCGAAGTTATTAGCCCAAAATTCCATAGGTGTTTTTAGTTATAGCTGCCATTTTGAGCAAGAATGTCTGGGATATGGAGTAAGCTGGGAGGAGGGTAAAATAATGACCATTATAGAACAGTTTTAAACACTGATGAGGCTGCATATAAAGCCTAATCTGATGGAGGCTGCTTGCTTGCACAGTTGCAACAACAACTGTTAACATTTTTCTGAGAAATAATTTTAATGGTCCTACTTTTGAATGTTTTCTGATAATTTATAGTTCCTTCTTTGAAATCTTCCTCTAGTTTACTGCCTTCAAATGGTCAGGTTTTGATTTTTTTTTTCTTTGTTGCATAGACTTGGTGTTTCATCCATGTGTGTATTATAACTTGCTTCCTAATTCTTCTCTCCTTCTCCATGTGTTTTATTTGAGTGTTGTTTAAGTAATTCTGGTCTATCTTTGAGCTCTTCTGAAGTGTAACATCCACTGTTATTTTTTTCAGACTCTAGGAAGATGAATTTCAACAATGCCAAAGTTCCCAAGATTCCAAGTGGTCTTCCTACTGTGCTGAAGCTGGGAGTCATTGGTGCTCTTGGTGTGTATGGAGTGGCCAACAGTCTCTACAATGTCGATGGTGGGCACCGAGCTATTGTGTTCAACCGTCTCGTTGGTGTCAAAGATAAGGTCATTATTTGGATTTCTGCACAATGTTTGAGTAGTTAACACATGAATTTGTCCAAAAAGTTTGGTTTTTCTTATAGGGAGTTCTAGCTATTTGTGAATTTTTGAGAATCTGCCCTTAAAATTGGACATGCTTCTCTTATCTTTTTCAATGCACAGAATTTTTTCCTTGTTAACATTATAATCCTGTCAGTGGAAGTATATCCTTAGTTCTCTATAGGATGAGTGTCACTTGTGTTTCATTTACTTCACTAATTACTTGTCTGTTTGTCTCCTTAAAGAACCTTCGTTCTATTCTTTGCATGAAATGAGTCATAATCAGTACCATAAGTATTCAGTCTTCTGATAGTCAGAAGCAGGCTTTAAGATGTTATTCAATGTCAAGGATTCCTCATTTTTGCCTAATGTTTTTTCTTTTCTTTTAATTTATTTCTTGATATATGTCAATGTATTTTATTGATGCTTTGAGCCATGCAGGTTTATCCTGAGGGCACACACCTTATGCTTCCATGGTTTGAGAGGCCAGTCATCTATGATGTCCGTGCTCGACCACATTTAGTAGAGAGTACCTCGGGTAGTCGTGACCTCCAGATGGTTAGTCACTTGGTCTCTTTTTTTTTTTTTTTTTTTTTTTTTCACTTTTAAGTTAAATTAAAAAGGAGAAAAAATGAGGAGAAGTAAATTGCATTTCATCACATGGAGCTATTTCTTATGGGTTGTG